TGACTTTTGGGACATCCGGTAGCTCAAGTGCCTCGTGTTTCTATGACTACACACTATGAAGGGCTTTAAAATGTGCTGTCCTTTTTCACCTTGTCACTCCAAGATGTCACACACAGCTGAGGTGTGTAGAAGCCAATGTACTGTAAGCTCACTCAGGTCTAGGCTCCAGCAAAATGTATGTATGTATGCCATCATTTTTTTTTTAATGAAGTAAAATGATGTGAATTTTTGGCGACAAATTATGCATTTATGTTTTTATTTGTAATTATTTAATGAAGTTTATGTGTTTGCATATCTATGATTTAACATCTATGATGTATTCGAAAGCCAAACTGTTTCACAAAGTGTTGAGTATTGTTTGGTCCTGATTCATTGTTTTAGTTTGAGGACATTTTGTCTGCATGTCGACTAATACACTGTTGCAAAGCCATCATCCACCCTAACCATTCATACACTCAGTTACCAGTTTATTTATTTTGTATTTATTAGTCATGCTGAAGCAAATAGAAGGGTCTCTAATGAACTACTCTCATTGATATAAATGCTGTATACACATATTGAAATCACCTCTCAGTATATATCAAAATACTACAAACTGCAGCCTCTTCATTTAACATAAAGTGTATTAAAGCCCTTTATATCAATGAGTATGAGACTATTAGTTTCAGCTAGTTGTACCCAATAAACTGGTAAATAAGTGTAGTGTTGTCCCCCTGTATGATGCATAACTGAAGTGTTATATTTTAGTTGTGTTTGTGTCAGAGAGTTTATTGTATTGGACTCCAATAGTTGTACTGTAAGTTACTCAAAGAAGACAATATATAAATAATCATGTGAAAATACTTCACTTTTCACAATTATGCAGATTTTGTTTTATGTTGTGTAAAGTCATATCCACAGAACATGGTGATTTGCAAATACTTACCCTGTAAACACATACTTTGTTTAACACAATAGTAATAGGCTAAAATGAAAAGTTATAAACGCTTATTCAGACTTTACTCAACATCAATAAAAAGAATATATGTTTGTGGATTGTCTTCTGTGTGTTACAACTAAAGTCAGTTAAGAAACGTCCATGAAGGGGGGATTGACTCCGTAACACATGGCCTGGATTATAAAGTTGTTTTTGGTGTTTGTTTCGAAATAAATGTGACTGATGCAGAAGAGCATTTGTATGTGTATTCATTTTCCAAACCTTTAATAACTGGTCGTGTTTATAACACATAAAGCACATAATACAAGATTCCATTATGAAATGATCTAGTAGTCACTGACAATTTTGTTTTGCTTTGTTTTAGGGGCGTGTTGATCAGTGTATTGTTATTCCTAATGGAATATTAGATTCAAAGGTTTTATAATATATATATATATATATATAAAGCTTATTTTTTAAATGTGCATTTTAAACAATACATCATTTAATTGTGATTAACAAGGATAATAAGATACTCTCATATAATGTAAAAGGTAAGATACAAAATAAAACATTTATTCTCAATAAATAACAAAATAGTAATAAATTAATAAAGCAGTTAACTTGTTTCGTAAAATATCTTCTATACTGTTTTTATGAACATGTGTCTTTGTTATTGTTTGGTAAATCAAAGGAAAAAAAACTTGTTTTTTATTTAATGTACTTTTTATTTATATGTTCCCAATGCAATACAACAAAATACCATTATATCTTAAAATGTGTATGCTCTTATTTGATTGCTCTTGAATTAAGTCATGCTTAATGACTAAGCATGTCTTAATGACGTGCTTAGTCATGGGTAAAAGCTTGAACTAAATCAAATGTATTACAAGGTTTACTGTTTAATGATTACCGGCAATCTCGCGATGTTTCAGACGCCGTTCAGATCAGACCGCGAGAAGATGAGCGATGGCAATAGAAACAAAACCTGAGGACGAATTTGACACTGTTTTTGATCAAAATGACTCGTTAGAGCTGTCTTCGAGCCACGATTATGGGAATGCACAAGCTCGGATATTCAAGATAATAGTCATAGGAGATTCAAATGTGGGAAAGACGTGTTTAACTTACCGATTCTGCGGGGGTACTTTCCTGAAAAACCCGGAGGCAACGATCGGGGTCGATTTTAGAGAGAGGACGTTGGTGCTCGATGGGGAGACTATCAAGGTGAGAGGACTCTAAAAAGCAACATACACTTTAATGTCATGCACACCTGCATTTCCAACGAGATTACCAGAAACCATCTGACTGAGCTACGTACAGTTTATATAAATTGACACAGCCTGACATGGAGGCTGTTTTCAGATATTCAAAGCCTGCATGGGGATAGATAACACCCAAATATAGGCCTACCTTTACATTTAACAGCCGGTGTTTCTTCCATTTCTCAATGAAATACATAGTAGTTTATAGAACCATTAAAGAAAAGATGTGCAGTAAAAGGGGAACATGTCTACATCGATGTGGACTGTATCGACAGGATAATTTAATAATCCTGCAGAAAACACTATAATTTTCACACTGCATTTTTTTAAATACAGTAAAGATATGCAGAGACATCAGTGGCTATTTTCTCTGTGATCAAATGTATTTTATTATTTTAACCGAAGAGATAGATATACTGTACAATCAGCATCAGGGCTGTGAATTTAATAATAATAAAGTCAATCAAACAAATAAGATACACCTATACACAGCCAACCTGTGAAATAGAAAATTAAAATAACACGTTATTATCTCAAGATAAACCCCTTATAATGTATCATGTCGTTTTCAAGTGGGCCCCAAAAAAACACTTTTTGTACTATTCAATAAACAGAATAGTACAAAAAGCATTAATATACAACACAACAAAGACGAAACTCCCAGCTAACTGTCAGATAACTGAATTACTATGCAAGTATGATTAGATTCCAAAGCATACACAATCAAAATGAAAAAGAGAAATGATCAACATATGTAATATTTTCTTGGGATTGGTTGAAAAATATAGATTTACTCTCACCTTCAATTATGTCTTTTTCACATGCATTATCTGTTTGTGCTGTGCCAGTTGCAGATCTGGGACACGGCAGGTCAGGAGCGTTTCAGGAGGAGCATGGTGGAGCACTATTACCGCAGCGTCCATGCCGTCATCTTCGTGTACGACGTGACCAGCCTCTGCTCCTTCGAGAGCATCCCCGAGTGGATCGAGGAGTGCAGCCGACACTGTGTGGGGCCCCTGGTGCCCCGCATCATGGTGGGCAACAAGTGTGACCTGAGGGACCGCGTGGAGGTCCCCACCACCGCCGCCCAGTGTCTCGCCGACAGCTACAACTTCCCACTGTTTGAAACTTCAGCCAAGGATCCTGCTGAGAAGGAACATGTTGACGCCATATTTCTGACTTTGGCTTATAGACTGAAGAGCCACAAACCCCTGAGACTGAAGCAGCCCAGTGAGAGCAATATCAGGCAGCTGTGGAACCAGAGAGAGCAGGAAGCATCAACTTGTCAATGCTGAGGTCCTGTATCGATGGAGTGAACGGGTCATCAGGATACGTTTGCTGAGAAAGAGTCTTTTATGATCCTTAGGTTAAAAAGGAAGATATGTACCATGGTTTTCCACTTTCCCTGCCTGATGCGAGTCATAGCTAGTGACAATATAGGCCTATATGTTTGCACACTTTTAAATCAACATTTCAATGAAATGCATGAATGGAAATGGAGGTTAGCCAAGCATTTGTAGCTCAAATTACAATTGAAATCCCTTCATGGAACAGTGCATTGCGGAATGCACTTTAATACGTAGACATATGCAAACGGCCGTCTGGTAGCACCGCATTTTATCTACACTATCCAAAGCTGACAATACAGTAAGGGATAGCATGATTTCAATGCAAGTATAAGGACCAATAAGGTACATTGAAACTGTGGGGAAAACCACATATCGTTTTATTTATTTAAGTTGTGTTTTAAACTGATATTTGAAAGTTGCAGCATGAGTTTTGGTGCTGATGCTTTGAGTGTGTATTTAAAAAATATAAAAATGAACGTAGCCAGCCTTTTGTCAGCAAAGAGAGCTCACCAATGATGAAATGTAGCCATCTTATGGGGCAAAATGCAAATTCACATAAATCACTTGAAAAGCATGAGTGAATACATGCACTTTGAACATCATTATGCCAGAAGGTATTGAAGATAGGCGATCAAATCACAATTGATTGATACTTGTGTTGCATGTGAACAAAAATGCAAACAATTGAAATGGAGATCTGTGACAATAAGCTGCACATCAATAAAAGTGGTTTTATTGAGGTTTCTGGCTCGTTGGTAATGATGTAAACTGAAATCTGAGGTTGCACTTATAAATACACATACACATGATCAAGGTAGAATAATATTGCATTGTTTGGTGATAAGGCCTGAGAAGCAGTGTATTTTTATCCATTCACAAAACATGGAAGATTGAAGTCAAATTAATTGTATTTATTCAACAAAATCACACTTTTGCGCCAGGGATCTTTACTATCTGTGCAGCATAGGGCAGCCTCTGTCCTTTTCACCCTGGCTTTTGACAACTCCCCAAACCAAAACCCCTTTATAAATAACGCAATTATATTTATTAAGGCAAACTCTACATTCTGATGATTACCGTATAATATGATTCAAAGCTCTAAATCAGGATTTAATGGACAGTTTAGGAGGTGTTCTGCTTCATCCTGGTTTGCTGTATTTGATAGTATTTTTGCGACTAGCGGACAACTTTTGCATAGCAGCAACTTGGATGTGTTCGAGAAGGCCTGTAAACTAGCATGTTGTTCAAAGTGTTTGTCGCCAGCTGTTAATGTTATATGTGAAACATAAACAGAAATGCAACTTCCGAAACAAGTTTAGGATTTCTACTGCGTAAGAAATGGGAATTTGACAGCGAGACTTTGCTCTACCTCTCCATCGGCTCTATTTAAGGTTATTGAGCGTGATCAGTGATTACTTGTTAGGGTTGTCATATTAACCAGCTTTTCGAGAGGTCCATCAATGCCGCCTACAAATCGAGCCGCTTGTATTCTTCTCGTCTCTCCATGGTAACACTTTCCTCAACACTGGACCTTTGACTCAAAGAAACTACACAAACTGGTGCTTTTTTCATGCAGGTAAGAGACGTATGTTCATGCTTAATATGCATTTAAATAAGATACTTTAGGTTTGTGTTGTCTACATGCATATTTAACCGATACTGTGAGGATTAAGTAGCATTTGCCCCATTTACTGCAACACGATTCGGTTTGTTTGTCTGTGGCCTAGCAGCAAGCTAACACAAGCTAACGTCGGCATTGTGACAGGGTGTAGACAGGAAAATAGGCTAATGTGAATAAAGCCTTAATTTAAACGTAATGTGAACTGTCTCCGATTAAAATATTGACATCGGCTAATGTTAGCTTAACTCACGCTTTGCCGGGTATATGCTAGCATTGTTGTTATATCTGATGGGCATCTGAGCTGCACCCTCCTGTACAAGTAGGATTTATATTGAGGACACCGAGTTCGTTGATAAAATGTGGTTTTGACCTACTTTAAAACGTTGTTACTAGCCACCATTAGCAGTAGCGGAAGAAGTACTCAGATCCTGTACAAGTAATAATATCACATTGTATAAATACTCTAATACAAGTAAAAGTCGTACATTCAAAATGTTGCCTAACTAAAAGTACATAAGTATTTATCCTTAAAGAGCAAAAAGTATTCATTATGCAGAATGGCTCATTCCAAAATTGTATATATTATATTTTTGTTCATGTTTGATGAAGCTGATTAAAGTGGAGACAATCGAATTACTTATATATTAATGGTAGATTGTGAATTCATTCCATCTATTTAAGTATTTGTATGTGTTGATTCTATTTTATACCGTTAATGCAAAGTAACTAAAGCGTTAAATAAATGTAGTAGAGTGAACGTAACAAATGTACCTTTGAACTGTAGTAGAGTAAAGTACAAGTCTCTCAACATTGTACTTAAGTCTGGTACTTAAGTCGAATGTGCTTAGTTACTGTTCACCACTGACCATTAGCTATTATTAATTTCTCAGTTCTGAAACAAAGTATGATGCTAGCTTATTTTCCCCCCTCCCTATATAGCTGTTATTCAGCATGAATTTGGCAGATATATGTGACAACGCCAAGAAGGGCCGTGAGTATGCTTTGCTGGGGAACTACGACTCCTCCATTGTGTACTACCAGGGCGTCATTCAACAGATCCACAAACACTGTCAGTCTCTCAGAGACCCTGCACTCAAAGCCAAATGGATACAGGTGAGTTTCTTTAACCCCCTGAACATATCATCATTACACCTGGTAATAAACTATCATTACAGATATTCTTTGATGCAATGCTTAATACAATACTCTTCTTCTTCTGTCTCTGAGCAGGTCAGGCAGGAACTGCATGAGGAGTACGAGCAGGTAAAAGACATCATGGGGACACTTGAAGGCTTTAGGTCAGAGAAGCCAGCTGACGTCCTCGCCCCTCAATCCGGAGAGAGACCTGAGGATCCAGCAGTGTGGCCCCCTCCCACCCCTGCAGAACACAGGTGTGTGTGTGTTTGGATGTTACATCTATTGCATAAAGCCTTTGTGTGCTTCATGCGGAGTCGATCGCTACAATACGAGATTTCATGGTGCTTTTCTAAATCGTTTGGAATTTAGCACTGGGAACAAGATTGCAGTGTATGCCTGCGTGTATTTTGGTTCTTTTTTTTATCCACCTGCTCTGCCTCGGATCCAGCTCACTTCTTTACCTCCTGGCAGAATTGATTGTAATTGATAATGCCAAAAATGTCAGGAGAACAAAATGCCACTGTAAGGAAGAGCTTTGAAGTACAAAGAGACATATTTTGCATAATCTGTTTCAGGTCCGCCATCACTGTGTGACTCATGTTTTACCTTATGGTCATTCAATTGGACATAGCAAGCTCTACCTCCACATAGAACTAGCAAAGCTGGTTAAAAGTCAATATCCATCTGTGGCAACATTTGAAAACTATGTTAATACCACTACAGTATTTCCTTTTTGAAAATGATCTTTGATGTTTCAGCCAGCATGTGTGTCCTACTATTACTTATTTATAGTTTCTTCATGTGTGTGCCTGTAGGAATCCCGTTGCAGTGAAGCGTCCCAATAGTGCAGCGAAGCAGCATAGAAAGGAGTCCCCTGGCCTGCAGCATCGAGGGGCCGGGCCTGGGGGCCGCAACCCTAAAGCAGACCGCCCAGGAGCCAGAGAACCCCGGGGCGCAAAGGCAAAAGACGATAAGGTCAGACATCAGAGGTTTATTTCCGTGGACCGTATTTTCCGGACTACAAGCCGCGTTCTTTTTAGCTGTGTGGCTGGTCCCGCGACTTATACTCCGAAGCAATATTATATATTGTATTTTGTCTGACTGCATTCAAACTACGGCCAAGAGATGGCACTGTATACAATCGTGACAACTGAAAACTGCTGTACCACCGAAGTCATGGCAACCGGGAGGATGCGTAACGTAACTTTCCAGGATGTTGTGGGATGGATTGACACAGCGTGGGCTTCAGTCCGACACATCCTGTTGGGATTCAGAAGGCTTGTCTAATCGGAGCTGATTCTGATGTTGAATCTGACGACAGCAGGACATGCTGCTTCATCGACACCTCTGTGTCACTGTTAATCACTTCCTCCGGAGTTGGCAGAAGTGTTTAACAGCGACACAGAGGATGAAGACTTCAGTGAATAAATGCCACTTATACACCGAAGCGACTTATATGTTTTTTTTCTCTTAACGACACACTTTTTGATAAGAGCGACTTATACACAGCAGGGTTTCCGTTAGCCGGTAATTACCGGTTTTTAGCTGGTAAAAATAATTCAAAACTGGTAAATTCAAAACCTGCCGATCAAAATGTCCGCGAATAATTGGGGATGCTCTGATCGATCGGCCGCCGATCATTATCGGCCGATATTCACTCTTAATAGTTTGATCGGTGCTCTCTATAAAGGCTGATCAGGAGAGCTGGATCTGATTAATATGGACATAAACGCGAGTGAAGTATAACCGGACGCGAGAGAGAGAGAGAGAGATAGAGAGAGAGAGAGAGAGAGATCAGATCAGCTGCTGCATAATCACCTGAAGCCTCGCCCACTGTTTAGCAAGCCGCATGAGAAACTGACGGGCTGGAGAGAGAGGGAGGGAGAGAGGAAAAGAAAGGATCCGTTTCTCCCGTGTTATTATTCAAAGTTAATGTAAACTTTTGAATAATGTACTTCATCTACTACAAGTAGTTTGTTTGCATGTAATAATTATGTTGTTTGTTGTTTGTGGAAGCGCATCATTTATTGAAAACTGAATCTGAATTTTTCGATCTGTTGCGATTATAAACTGAAGCAATATAAAAATGACTCGCATTAACTGAGTTTTAAACATCAGCATATCCGGTCCTAGTCCGGTAATTACCTGCTAACGGAAACTCTGCTACACAATTCTTATTATTATTATTATTGAAACATGACCAGTAAGTTTCAAATTTGTCCGGTAAAATAAATTCTGTCTGGACATTTGACTGGCGAGAAAAAATCCTAGCGGAAACCCTGATACACAGGTGCGAATTATAGTCCGGAAAATATGGTAGATGTATCAAAGTTTCAAAATATCTAAACTACTGACTACTTTCCAAAAGAGGGAAATATATATTTTTGATCTTGGATTGAACTGTCTAGAAATGAGAAATTAGTAAATCTGTCCTAAACTAAACATTCTTCCTTTTTCTTCATCAGGGGAAGAGAGGGGCTGGAGAAGCACCAGGAGATGTAGAGCAGAAGAGGTTTGATGGCACGGGATATGACAGCGACCTGGTGGACTCACTGGAGAGAGACATTGTGTCCCGTAACCCAAACGTACACTGGTATGTGGAAAACACAGATTCTTTCATACTCGTTCATACATTTTACTGTCAGGGAAAATAGTATTTTTTTACTGATGACTGATTTCTCTGGATGAACTGTAGGGAAGACATCGCTGATCTGGAAGATGCTAAGAAGCTGCTGAGAGAGGCGGTGGTGCTGCCCATGTGGATGCCTGACTTCTTTAAGGGAATACGTCGCCCCTGGAAGGTACAAACACACGCTCTAACAAATGTGCCTGCTTAGTAATCTGGGGCTGTTTACTTACTAAAAATAACCAATAAATCAGTAAGAAGCTTGTGTATTTTTTGTGTGAAGTCGGCCCTAATGCCTGGTTGGCACTGCATGCATAGTGCTGAATTTCCTCTCGCTGAGAAGCCCCAGATCAGAGGTTAATCGACTGCTATGTGCAACTGCATTGTTGTAACAGAAAATACAAAAATAGGACTGAATCTTTGACAAAGAAGAGTAAATTAAAGCATAACTAGCTTGTACATTATGATGGGTGATTACTGTTGGGGCAGAATCTCTGCTCCGCGCCGTTCCTATATGAGCGGGTTCTCAAAAGAAGGAAAAATTCAAAGCAGCCAGGATAAGGGTTAAACAATAATCTGCTTTAATGGTAAAACATACAAATACATCACCGAGTCACGAAGCACTCTGCAGAGTAGTCCGGGCTCAGGTTCTACCCCCGTGTGAGACATGTCTCAGGAACGGCCAGTCAGAAACAAGAGCGCCGATCTTCAAAATGATCACAACATTTATACACAGAGTTCACTTCTGAGCGAGCTAGACAGTGAGTTGGCAGTGTTCCATTGGTCGGTTTCCCTTCTGGGCGGGATCCCAGGTAGTAAGTCAGTTTGTTGATTCCATCGTTTTCTTCACAGTGTATGTGTGTGTGTGTGTGTGTTTCTGTCCCTCTGCCCTCAGGCAGATCCCCCAATCAATGATTTGGAGTCATGACAGAGGACTCTTTGACAGGACACATACTCATTCCCCCTAAACATCTTCAACACACACAAACATCGTATCATGTATCTTTAACAGAAGTTTAATTGTTCTTGTGGCTTAATGGCTTCCCTGAACTTCCCTTCACCCCAAAGTCAGCTTACTAGGAATGAATACATTTTATTGATAAGCTCAAAAGGACGTTTATCTTGATTACTGCTGGGTGACCCAAGTTTCAAGGCCTGCAAGATGTGTAGGAGATAAACATTAATTCTCCAAGACTTTAACTACATTATCTGAAAGTGTATCTGGGAATTCCCCTGTTAAATGCAAGGACTATTGATAA